ACTGCAACACCCTTTCATCAAGCCATGACGTTCAGTTAAGACTCGTAATCAACCACCTGCATTACTAGCGATGCCCAGCCTGAATATCTTTGTAGAGCTTCGTCAGTTAGCCCTAATTACTGAGGGTTTTAACATCCTTGATACTCGATACTATCTTCTCAGAACCAACCGCTCCTAATGATCCTCAACTGACTTTTTCACAGAATAGGCTGGAGAAACAAATTGATGTTGGGTCGTCCGTCTTATTCGATTGACGTTTTTGAATTGATAAATAAAAAGTCCAGAAAATTGATAACAAACGGTGGTCCGAGGTACACGGACCTCTGGTGCTTGTGTTTGGCTAGCACTAGGCCCCTTTCTCTCTTGTATCTTGTCCTTTTAACTTTGGGGTAAGTAAGCTGACATGGTTCCGTGTCAGTTGACACTGGAATCAACGGTTCACTCTTTTTGATCACAAACATTCCCAAAATTATTACTTGGCAACTGATAGACTGATAGGTCCGGATGTTATACGAATTTACCGGACTCTTGGGAGTCTCTTCCAACTAGTCCACCATCAGATGTAAATTCACACAGGGACGAGATTGTCACTCCTTTGCATGTGGCACGACGCTACCCGGGATACTCAAGCACTGGATATTAGACCAAGCAGTGGTACTGCTTAAATCTCAAAGAAATATCCCCTCCGGTCCCGAACATAACTTGGCTCCGCGGATTTTCAGCCGTCAAGTGAAAGTGAGCGTAAGAACCGACGATGAACTCTGGTAGACACGGAAAATCAAGGAAGTGGAAGAAACGTCGAAATCCGGAAATGCCCGAAGATTATTTCAGTTGATCCATGTGGCCGGTCCTCGGAAACCATCTGTGAGCGAAGGCATCAAGGATCAGAGTGGACCAGCCATATCGAACTAAGAAGAACGCTTTGACCATTGGGCCGAAAACTCCGAACAACAGTTATCGTGGCCCCAAGCTTCCACTCCTCTGGAGCTTAAAGCTGATGTGGAACCCTGGACGGCCAACGTGAAATCTCCGATTGACTCGGAAGTTTATGACTGCATATGTTGTCTCAAGCACTGACGAGATTGTTGTCCACATGACCTTCCACTCGCATTGTTCAAAGATGATGGAGCTGATGTCCTAAGTCAGCGCTTGTCTGATCTCTTTCTCTGCATTTCATAAAAGAAGACTATCCCAGATAACTGAAGAGAGTCCGTGATAATGCCCATTTTCATAAAAGGGACTCGTAATTAGTGCGGTAATCACACGGGAGTCATCTTGATCCTAGTCGTCACTGTGCTTCGTCGCCTTATGGTGGCACGTGAAATACTGACCCGCGAGCAGCAAGCGGGATTCTAGCAGGTACGAGGTGCATTGACCAAATCTTCGCACTCCCTCAGGTGCCAGAACGACGTTATAGGTATAAGCGACTCACAAGACGAATTCGACCTGATTGACCGGTCTGTTCTGACACGACTGCGCACCAAGAAATGTCCTGGGAGCATGTCAACATAATACTCACTTGCATGTGCGATTATACGGACAGCCCTCCGATAGCTTCCCTACTCAAAGTGGTGTCCTTCGGGGGTGCCCACTCCCTCCATTCCTACTTGATTTCGTGGTGGACGAGGTAACGGGGTGAATACAGCAAGGTAATCAAAACCCTGGTGTTCAAGTAGTTCCGAGAAAAGGCTTTTAGGTTTGGAATATGGCGACGATATCGATTTCATCTTCGAAGAGGAGGGGAAGGTGCTGGTGTTTTTGGATGAACTGTCCTTTGGTATGCACTTTGCACCCACAAAGTGTAAGGTCATGATGGTGGACATGCAGCCACTGAACACGTCACTTACGACTCAGGGAGAGGCACTGGAAGTTGTGAAGCGTTCTATGTATCTTGGATGGTGTATTAGTTCTGACCGTAATTTGCAGATGAGGTCAATGCACGAATCTGTAAGGTTCGGGTCGAGTTTGCTTATTGGGTCACCTATGTTGTCAAAGCATCCCATCCCTTAGTCTCAAGGGACCTGTGTATCAGGCTACAGTACGGTATGTTCTGTTGTATGACTGTGAGACGGGGTCTGTTCGAGTAGCGTAGCTGAGTTGTCTTCAGGTCTCCGACAGTCATTGTCTCAGAACCATAGCTTCTGTGGTTTGCTTTTGGCTGCCAAGTAACGGTGGGAGTAGAAAGCGAGTATTCGGTTGTGCTACGATGACTTTCATCGATGAATTTATCCAGAACGGGAAGCTGTCTTGGTTAGGCAATGTACTGCTTGTACCGAACCAGTGTTTACCGCAAACGGGGCTGTTTTCCTTGTAGAGTCCAGAGTGGCGGTAGCAGGGCGGTGGCCAACCCTTCACTTGGCAAAAGGGTATGAAGGAGATTACGAAAGATTTGGTTGCAGTGATTTGTCTTCTTGGTTGGGGACCTTTACTGCGCCCGATTGGAGACGATGCTAGGTATGGCTGCTCATCATCATCAACAGCTGTAAAAACCAAGCCCTTGCCGTACAGTGGTTCTGGCTACCACAGTCTGGTTCCCTGATGCGGTAGCTGATATAATTGGTGCGTAAATACACAGTTGTCAGTGGATGTTTGATTAGGGAGATCGGGTGAGAAGGTATGCATTGAAGGCAACAACTAGGACGCACGAGCCCCATTGAGGACGCTGCTGGGCCATATCCAATAGCTTCTATTCAGATTGCCTGAATAAGTGTCTGGAGATGTGTGCTCGCACTAATTCCCCCCTCGTGAACAAATGCACATCTCGGAGTGAATATCAAGAAAGATCATATTCTTCATTATCTCTATTTGGAAAAGAACGTGGATCGCGACTCGTGATGCTGTCAAAATGAACATTTCGTTGCAAACCTTTTAAAGTTCGTTTGAAGGTTTTTTTATCGGGACACTTGAACTTTCGCTCAGCATTGATCAACTTAGTCATGTTCACCCCGTTTACAACTTTGGTTTATGACAGGTGCGAATTTGTGGTTCACAGTGCTTTTGAGTAGCACAGCTGTACATTCTTCACTCATTCTCATTCCTTTTGTGCGATTTGACCGATTGATCTGGCTTGTGGAATGTTGAGATGGAGTAGGGTGAAAATGTGAGGTACAGTCGAGTCCGCATTTTAGGATAGCCCTCATGTCACTTTTCTAAGTGCGCCTGAGAGACACTGTTAAAGCCCACGTTGTCAGCAGCGTTCTAATCAGGGTCACACAGTCAGTGCAACTTTATGTCCAGCCACAAGGCAGTTGGCCTTAGCTTGATAGTACATCTGCTATAGTCGAACTGTCAGAAATGTACGACATCCAGTTAGTTAATTCTACGCCTGATAGGCTTCACATGGTGACGAAGGAGAAGACCGAGTGTTGGTGACCATAATCAATCGTAAGCCAATATCTTTGGCTGTCCAGTGGCTATTTTCTTCCCAGCCAGTTCATGTTCTCCAGTCTGATTGGCATACTATGTTTGTGATTCGTTGTCCTCGGATTTCCGGAGAATCGCGTGTTCGTCTCACAGGTCACTTAGCAATACAACCATCATCGGAGACATGAACACCATTTTTGACGCTGATGCTCCATTATCGTACACTTACAAAGTTTATTTTCATAAAGAAAACTACTCACAAGGTTGCTGAAAACTCTTCGGCAGTCCACGATCGGTTTTGCCCTTGTTGGGGCTTATCAGGTAGGCGCAGTCCCCGAGTTTCCGTCAACCTTATGTGCTACTTGAACTCCAATTGGACTGTTTTCGAGAAATACACTCACTTGCAAAGCAATTTGGTTTTTCACGAGAGACTTAACTGAATCTCTCGTTTATGATATTCTACAACTGAATATGCTGCACACTTACAATCCAGAGGCACTCGAAGTTATGGAGCGTTTCATGTATCTTGGAAGGTGTATTAGTTCTGATTGTAGTTTGACAGATAAGGTCAATACACGAATCTGCAAGGCATGGGGCGCGCTTGCTAATTAGGGACACCTGTGTTGTCAAAGCATCACATCCCTGAATCTCAAGGGACGTACTGTATCAAGCTACAGTACGGAACGTTTTGTTGTACAACGGTGAGACGGAGCCTGTTCGAGTAGCGTAGCTGAGACGTCTTCAGGTCTTCGGGAGTCGTTGTCTCAGATCCACAACTCGTGTAGTTTGGCGTCCGTAAATTTTTATGGCACGATTAGACATCGAATGTTTTGGTTTTTCAGCAGAAAGTTCAGTCGAATAGTGGGTCGTTCAAGGTGATTTAGTCATATACTTCGCATGTCCAATCATCGTCTGCCGAACAGAATCCTGTTGTGCATTGGCAATTCTGGATAGAGCAAGATGAGGTTCGATTAACCTTTGACGGAAATTCTGGGTGCTGTCGGTGTGACACCCTTCAGGATGAGGTTGGCGTAGTCCCCCCCCTCGTGTGGATGGTTGGAGACGCTGCGTGCTGTGGCTGCTGTGTGATGTCTGTGGTGTGCTTATCGTCACTTCATATCCAGATTTGTCCGGAAATTTGGGCACCTCGAATGCTTGTTGTAGGGTAGCAATAGGCCCATTCGTGTTCACTTTTATATTCTTACAATAAGACTCTGTAATTGCCTATCGTTGTACGACAGAGAAACGTCAGTTTTTAGACACTGACGATTTGTGCATGGATTATGACTGAAGCTGGTGCATTTCAGAATTGAATGTGTATCCTTATAGCCGTGGATGTGATCGTCCACATTCCATTTTTCACTATTCTTTGTGTCTAGGTGTCGGAGAAATCCATGAAAAGTGGAGGACTTGATAGCAATCTAAACCTATGACCTAAAATGCGCAATTTTTCATGATTCCTTGATTTTTGCTTTACTACGGTGAAGCGGTGAATTCCGCGGCTTCAACTATGTAACTCCTCATCCTCCCGCAGGTCTCCACTCAATGCTACCATGTCTATTTTGTTTTGCCTCTCTTATGAAGTTCGCCGATTCGTATGAGGTCAAACTGTCGTTTTATGGTGCTCCATTTTTCAGGCTCAACGGACACGGTGGTGTTCTCCACACAAGGCACCAATGATGTCCTCTCATCCATTCTTCACATCATAATTGGTGAGTGCATTTGTCTCGTCTTGGGTATCTTTGGACCGGCTAACCACTGGTTTTCTCGGCAAATCGTCCAATCATAGGGGTCATAGCCCGATAAGCTTGTTTCCGTGCTTTTTAATCATCTTTGAACGTACAAGTAACACGCTCGGCTGGTCTCAATGACACGTTATTATTGTAACACATTTCGCTATTTCAGCTGATCGCTGTGAGGATAGTATATCTTCCGTGACTAGACGCTTTTGTCGTTTTCGCTAACTCAAAGATGCACATAAAGTAACGGTTCAAGTAGAACATAAGGTTGCCGAAAACTCGGGGACTGCGCCTACCTGATGAGCCCCAACAAGGGCGAAACCGATTGTGGGCTGTCGAAGAGTTTTCAGCGACCTTGTGAGTAGTTTCCTTCGTGAGATTAAAGTAACGATGTTTACCCAGACTATTTGTGCATCATTCTGCCCCTGGTGGCCTACTATTTCCATGTAATATCCACGTGATTCCTGCAATCACCTTCATAATCCTCTCACACTCGTCGTTCACATTGTTTTTCTACGATCTTTTACATTTTTTTGGTGTGTATGTTTCTCATCTTACCTTTGCTGTCTCAGCTGAGTACTAGGCAGGCCAAGTATATGAGAAACTCATACACATGTGGTTTATCTGAAGTATCATTTTCACGATTGCATCGGCCAGCTACGCTGTTTTCTGTACCTGGTTTGGGTGTTTTACTCCTGCTTCCTATGGATTTGATTACTACAATACCCATATCTGGTAGGCTGGATGCTCTTCAGTCACCAGCCGGTTTGCTTTACACATGTGTTTATCTGAAGTATCATTTTCACGATTGGATCGGCCAGCTACACTGTTTTCTCTACCTGGTTTGGGTGGTTTACTCCTGCTTTCTGTGGATTTGATTACCACAATACCAATATCCGGTAGGCTGGATGCTCTCCAGTCACCAGCCGCTTTGCTTGGTTCCACTAATAACCCACACGGCAATTCAGTCTATTCGACATGTATTATTACGCTAGCTTGTTATGAATTACAAAACTGCCGATACCATAATCTGTATCGTTGATGTTTGGCGACTTGTCACCTCTTGGTTCCACAACACTTGTCAAAAAGTGGTTGTGCTTTCTGTCTCTGTGTTTACATTTCACAGTCACGCGTTATAGTCGATGTTTCATTTCGCTTACTCCATCGTTTGGGCGTGGATAGACTAAGTGGTCTAGAAAAAAGAACAACACTCTCGGCTCATCGCCAGTGGTTCATGGATCAAACACCCATGTTCCTAGGCTTAACTAACTCGATTACTTCTCGAATTCAGTTGCATAGTAAATTGATGTGAATGGGGAATTCGAATGTGGGCTTCGAATGTGCCTGCCCTTTAGTCAATTATATTTTCATTGACCGCCACAATCTGGAATATTTCGTGCAGCACTTTTGTTATGAACTGTCGGTGATCAGCCTGCTATTTACGACAGAACTTCCACCAGTCATGGTTTAACAGGAAAGCTTTGAGCCCAGAGCGAACCAGCGTGAGTGTCACTTTAATCGTAGTCGACCATGTCACGTCATCCACTGTGTGAACTTCTTTTTGGAGATCGTGGTTACTGGGGGGGGGGGCGAGATGGTCCAAGTAGTTAGAGCGCAAATTCACTGACCGAAAGGTCCGCGGTTCGAACCCGCCCTCTGCCCCTCGACTTCCGCTCTCTAGGCTTGGGCAACCTGGCAGTATCCGGGCCCTCATGCAACCTTCGTGTGGTATGGCCGTTAGTCACCGAAAGGGTACTACAGCCGAACGATTTTGGTTAGTTTACAACGCAATAGACTGAATTTGAACCTTAAACTGAACAGACCTGTTTGACTTGGGTTGCTTAACAGACCCCGTAGGTGATTTTCGCAAAGAGAAAAACTCAAGAGCAGTGATCCAGATTTAGTTCATCTCGTGTTTCTGTTTTGATTGTTTCTATGTCACACTGTGTCAAATAGGTATCCATTTAATACTTCTTGGGTAGCGCAGCTTTAGGTGTTTTTCTGTCATAATCTGTCCCTTGCAGGAGATGATCTCCCCCTAGATGTTGCTGCGATTCATTCCGGCGATGACGGGTCGTTTGTTCGGTATGCGATGTCGCTAGTCGGATATGGATTCCATGCCGATTTGCTGAAGAATGACGACAAACTGCGCTGGATGGGACCCAAGAGATATGATTGCGCAGGTACGTATCATCCACATAAGTAACTGCCATGTTTCTTGTACAACTGGCCTGGTATCTGTAAATTCTTTCGTCTTGCTTGTTGCGTAGCGTCAGTTCGCACTCTGCAATAGCTTGATTTAAATTAGTGCTAATGGTTTTGAATTTTTGCCATAAGTTGCACTTTCGGGCCAGTCGCACGTCATGGATACCCAAGTTTTCGATATTTCATTGACAATGATACCAGTATAACTTGCCGTTTCCACTGTGATCGGAAACGTTGAAGATTCAACGCGCGCTAATGCATACTGCCGTTCTTAATATCTCTCGTATATGAGTCAGTTCCTGGACATAACTGATCGTATGTTAGGACGAATCATGGATATAATGACAGTTTCCACAAGAAACCCGATCATGCTCAGGTATGCGAAAGCCATCGCGGTATAGGTCTGATCGACCCCACAGAAACTGTCTGCTATTCTCTCACCAAAACTACCGGAACCAGACGTTTCCACCAGACCAAATCAAGGCGGAGTCTGTCTGTGGAGAGGTTACGTCGACAAGTTATTTGCCTTGTTGCACATTGTTGAACATCATCCCAGAAATAACGACCCAGTTTGCCTGTCTGGTTGACTGTCGTCTCCTGGGGGTCGAGAACTTATGTGGAAAAGATGCCGGAAAATGGGCTGAGGGAAAAATAACGTTCGTACTGTGCTCACACCATATCTTCAAAACTGAGTGTAATCACAGGCTGAGGGCCAAGTATATTAACGTTCGTACTGTGCTCGCACCATATCTTCAAAACTGAGTGTAATCACTGGGATTCAGCAAGACTGTCCACTCTTCACTCCTGTTCAATTTCACCGTAAATTGGATCACATACTGGGCCGCAGTGAGTCAAATTTGAGTCAATGTTAATTATGGTGATGAACTGGCTTCATATAACACTGGTTACTACAACCCGGAATCGATCGGTTTGTTGTCCAACTCGCAAAGATGGACCATTCTTATCATGCGCAGTCCCAGTTGCTCATCGGCTGTCCCTGAGAGAAGAGTTGATCGAACAATCATCGCCTTCGGATCGTTTTGTTCACTCATGCTTTCTAACGGATAAGCGTCTAAAAGAGTTGACTTCCGTCTGGACATCGCAACAGCTCATTCTTCTCAATTGAAGAGTGCTCCTTGGAGATGTCCTTAAACCGGCCTAAAGACCGAAGTATGGATATACCAGTCTACCTCTCCTAAGATTGCGAGACAAGTATAAGGGGTGAGAACCTTTCGATCATTTGTGTCTGCGGGGGCGCGCACAGCAATCGAATATCAGCCAATCTAGTGGTATGGAGTTGTTCTATGGAACCTCGACTTCAGCTTCGCTATACTCTGACCCCTAACATCCGCTTATTAGACGAGTTGTTACAGAGTTCACCCCAATCGAAGTTGATATCGATGACGTCCCCCGGATTTATAGCGTGCGTCGACTTACCGTACTTGAACTGTAGCAATGCAAAGTGTCGTTGCCACGGTCCCCCTCATCATCAGAATGGAAATGTGATTTGCGAACCTTCTCGCAAGGCCAAAGCCAATTCGATTTTTGAAGAAATTGGGCTCTGCGACTATCTTGTTAATCCGCACAGTTTTCACCCATTATTTTTTAAAAACTTGTTGGTATAATTGTTGGAGGGTCCCATTCCACAGGAACTTTTACTTGTTACCATATATCACCAACAGCTTCCGGTAATCGGGTTTTCAGAGTTCCTTCGTCTTATTCGAATTAGGTAAGGTACAACCCGCACATTCATGTAGATATTTCTTGAATATCCTTCTTAGCTCATGACATTCAGTGCTAAGCACCGTCAGTTTTTTGGCAAGGCCATAGGCGCTTTTAAACTTGGAGGGGGGGTGGCATGAAGTAAGTACTCGCGCCCTACTTTATATGCTTGAAAGGACTATACTGATGCTAACACCTTGAACCCAGGAGCCTTGAACACCTCCACTCAGCTCTTCCCATATGCCCTGTTTATTCAATGAGCAATGTAACTTATAGTTCATCCTTATCATGACGGTAACGTCCATTATTAAAAGAATTACTGAGAATCAAGCCTACCCATATACTGCAGATAAAGTCGTATCTTCGACTGATAGTACCGGAACGTTCAATCAGGCAAAACAAATCGAGGCCGATTGTCTATAGGGGCTTGTTTGTACGGAACACCAGTTCACACGACAAACTGAGAACCCCGATAGTGGCTAGAGTGCCGTTGCAGATGATCTCTGATACCCTGTGCTTGGGTGACTGGTCACTCAATTTTATTCAACCCAGTTCCAAACGGATCCAGAATGATCGGACTAAGTAACGTTTTTACAGCTTTTTTTTACTTCCCCTTCTCTTTGGAGCTGGGAAACTAGCCAGTTTACTTCGTATACGTCATATCCAGATACAGTACGTAGCCCATTTTTAGCCAATTCGTCAGACGGCAGACTGAATTAGCGGCCAATGACCAGCCGTCGCCTTAACAAATGACGTTTCTTCGACAATAACCTTGCTCATAGCTATTGACCTCACTTCATCCAGTGATAACGTTTTTGACTCTCATAGCAGTATCAGTCGTATCAGTGGTCAGAAAAATTGGTTCAATTATGGTCTTTTTTGCTGAACGCTGTATCAGAACGAGTATCTGAAACAGTATGGTTTCACCCTTCTCACTTACCGGGAATGATTCCCAGATATGCTAATTTTCTGAGTTAAGAGGTATTTAGAGATCCCTAGTTCCCAGGACCTATCCGGTGAACTTATTTTGATTGTTGCTGAAGCAGTAAAATCGCCACAGCCAAACTCCGGAACCCTCAAGCTGGGACAACCGAGTTGGGATTGAGTTTCTACTCCCCCTTCTCTTTGGAGCTGGGAAACTAGCCAGTTTACTTCGTATACGTCATATCCAGATACAGTACGTAGCCCATTTTTAGCCAATTCGTCAGACGGCAGACTGAATTAGCGGCCAATGACCAGCCGTCGCCTTAACAAATGACGTTTCTTCGACAATAACCTTGCTCATAGCTATTGACCTCACTTCATCCAGTGATAACGTTTTTGACTCTCATAGCAGTATCAGTCGTATCAGTGGTCAGAAAAATTGGTTCAATTATGGTCTTTTTTGCTGAACGCTGTATCAGAACGAGTATCTGAAACAGTATGGTTTCACCCTTCTCACTTACCGGGAATGATTCCCAGATATGCTAATTTTCTGAGTTAAGAGGTATTTAGAGATCCCTAGTTCCCAGGACCTATCCGGTGAACTTATTTTGATTGTTGCTGAAGCAGTAAAATCGCCACAGCCAAACTCCGGAACCCTCAAGCTGGGACAACCGAGTTGGGATTGAGTTTCCATTCACCACTATTGATGAAACAGGTTAATTAACAAAGACAGTAGATCCTTGTCTGCAACATGTGATCCGCTTGAATTATTAAGATACGAAAATGTGAACCAGTCACGCGTTCGCATAGGCGATCAACTCATTGGAGGGTCAAATAAACAAATAAAACCGAAGACGCAAAGAACACCTCACGCACACGCATCAAACATAAAAGTAAGACGGGAGTTACAAACAGAGACAAGAAAACGGGGGGAATTTATTAAGTCCAAACAAGCACAGTACATTGAATTCGACTCACCAGCAAGCCATCCTTTCGATCCATGATTGAACTAATACACGGAAACAGAAACACCCATCTCTTTGTCGAATATACAGTAGACGAACTAATAATTTGCAATGGATAAAAGCCGTTCATTAAACTGTTTTTTCTTCGGAACCCGGTTAGAAGGGTTTGCATCGGTCTAGCTCTCGGTAACGAGATTTATAAGCCCCGACGTGTAAAGCAAGGTGGGTTTAATCCTGGCCATGGTCGCATCGGTCATATTTTCACACCACGATCTCAGATCTGCTCCTGACCTCGCCGATCGTCAGACACTGTGCCAGTGCCTGGCAGTCCGTCCTAAATTTTTCTCTTATAAACGCTCTGTATGGCTCCGTCCGGGGACACAATGTGCTGCTTGAGTTTTCTTCACCTGCCCATAACACCTCGGGGATTGAAATATCCACGGAGCGTTCGCTCATGGATACACCGATGATATTACTTCTCTCGGATCGGGCTCTCCAGAAGTGCAAACTACTCTAAACAACACGCACAGCTCTGCTGCATGATTCACCATATGCTTTAACACGAAACATGTAGTGACACTGCAAAACGAGTAGGGATGAAACCTACACCTCAGACTTGAAGGTGACTCGATCGAACTTACTTCCCGTATTCGGACAGCGCTTGCCCAACTCCGACATTTGTGGCTGTGTGTGGCTCTGTCCTATTTCATGTTTCAGAGACGTGGCTTATGCATGCGGATCTGTGAAGACTATGGAGCATTCTGCGGGTCTAGTGGAAGCAGGTCACTGATACTCAAGTACGCCGGATAGTTTTCAGGAAAGGTAACTCTTCTATATACCAACTGGTCACACTCCACAGATTGTGCTAGTTGGCAGAGGACAGCTTGAGTCGCCGAACCATGTCAGCCCAGACCTGAAGACGAAGCATGACGTTCTTACCAGCGGTTGGGGAACCGCTGGAACAGATATGGCTGTGTCACGCAGCCCGTGGCGATCCTGCATCAAAGTTATTGCCTTTGCGTAGCTGGTTATATCGGTCAAACAGAACCGTTTAACGTCACTGAACTGATTGGCCCATCTGCGACCCGTAGTTCCCGTTTGCTTGTTTTCCTCACCTTTGCCTGATAAAACTGGGGGCGAGATGGCCCTAGTAGTTAGAGCGCGAATTTACTGACCGGAAGGTCCGTGGTTCGAACCCGACCTCCGCCTCTCGACTTCCCCTGTCTAGGCTTGGGCAACCTGGCAGAATCCCAGCCCTCGTGCTTCCTTCGGGTGGCATGGCAGTTAGGCGCCGTAAAGGTGCTACAGCTGAAGGATTTTTTTTAAAACAACTGTAGCAGCTGGAGTCGTTTCAATTTGGTATAGAAATTATAGCTGTAAAGAGTAACGACTGCAGTTGGTCGTTTACAGTTATCAGGTAAGAACTGTGATTTACGGTGATATGAGGAGATTTGGTCATTTTCAATAGAGATTTTTCCTTCGTTCAAGGAAAAACCGAAGACCAGGTTGGATATTATCAGCCATGTGCATCTCGCGATACTCCGAGTTTCGAACCCGCGTTTTTTCAGCTAGAGTTTGAGAAATTAACCATTTGGCTATAAGCGGCTGATCAGCAATATGACTAGATCTCAATTAGACAGGATTTAGTTCTCATGTACGGAGATAAAACGGATCACAAACATTAGAAATGTCTTTTGGTCAGAAACCCGTATTTCGAATGGGGTAACAGGGCGACAAAGATCAGTAAGATGGTGTGCTAGATGAAGGTCGGTGTTGTGTTCAGTGTCAAAACAATCTCTCTGTTGCAGATATGTGTGATTCCAACAGCTGGCTAGTTATCTGGCCAAATGATGTTATGAAATCTTGCAGCATCTCGCCTAATGGCCCATTACTTGATTCAAGTAAGTTTCTAAGAATAACTGTCTAGTTGCATTTGCTAAACTTCATCGACCGAAGCTAGACTTTAGTAGGTTTCAATTACTATGCTAGACAGCGAGACTGACAGTCTATAGATCCTGTGGCTAACGTGCTGCGCTTCTATTTGTCTTCTTCCTGTGGGTATCGAACGTTAACACGCAGTCTTGGAATTAGCTTACTGCTGCCCGGTGTACACAATTTAACTTTGTGTTGAGTTTCTTGAAGCCCGAAAAGATACGGCAACCGTGTTCGGTAAGTTCGATAAGTACCATCCGGGCCAGCTGAATGAAACACTCTGACACACTAGTTACCAGAGATCAGCAGTGATCTGTTTTTGCTAATTTTGAAGGACCATTTTCAGTCATACAATTTTTTCTTCGACTACATGAATGCCAGCTCGACTCGCAAGCGAGTCATTTCTGATGTTCGTGGGGAAGAGATCAGCGAGAACCAGTAGTGTTGGCTTCGGGTGGGCTCGTGCACCCCTGTGAATACCATCCTTGGCTGCTATATCCGAGGCATTCGTTACCACCTATATGCTCCAGCCTACGAACTTGGAGCGATGCACATTTCTAGATTACCGTCTCTCAGCTGTAACATCCTTCCGGTGCCTAGCTGCCATGCTACCCGAAGGAAGCACGAGGGCTGGGATACTGCCAGGTTGCCCAAGCCTAGACAGGGGAAGTCGAGAGGCAGAGGTCGGCTTAGAGCCACGGACTTTCCGGTCAGTAAATTCGCACTCCTAACCACTTAGTCATCTCGCCCCAAGTTTACCGTAAAGACGCCTGGATGTGCAAACACTGAGAATGAACAACAGGATACCCTAGAAGTTTTGGTGATCAATGGTGAGCTGAAGCTACTTCTTGTAACTTAGTGATCGAAGCACTGCAGTCCATCACTATTATAACTGAAAATTCCACTTGGGCTCTGCACCCCGACACTGCTTGAGAATTACGCTTACGAGTTTGCTGTTAAAATAGATTATCTACCGTCGTGGATGGCGCTGTTTCCGTAACGTTGCCAGTAAGGGGGTCCCTGCCAAACTACGTGAAGTGTTGAGTGTCGAGCTGAATCGTCTAACGGTGCTGCGTATCGTACTGCAAATTGATGGATCAACGGATTAGATCAGTTGGATGGCAGTGGTTCTGAAAAAAAAACAGACAAATCACCACTTTCTGTCTATCTTAGGCTTTTGACCTCTGTACTGAAGACAATAGATGTCCTTTGCCAAGTGAAGCCCTCATTTTTTCTCGGGGAAAGTTATCTATTGGTTTTTATTTATTGTCCGTCCTCTGGCAACTGACCTGTCGGTGACGAACCACGCTAACCTAGCTCGAGATGGCTCAGTTTTTAAAGCGCTAATTTACCGACCGGAAAGTCCGTGATCCAAACCCAGCCTCTGCATATTGCCTGCTCCTGTCTAGGCTTTGGTGACCGTGTCTTCCATTTGGGTTGAAGGTCTGTAGCGAGATATTCCAAAAAGATTAATTCAAGGGTCCGATATACTTCAGGGCGCGGTCTGTGCTGTTGACGATGCTATGATATCCTAGTGAACTCCTGAGGAGCACAACGGCAACTTAGCTAGCTCTCCCAATTATTGTGTTGCACAATCAATCGATCTGTTCCCGAAATATCGCTTTGAATCTGATACTATCCATAAACGTTTTGTAACATCGGATGACTCCATTGTAGATCTGGAAAACTTCGTGGAATTCAGTTGATACCAGATCGGTCTTCTGACTGAAAGGCGTGGCACCTATGACCGGTGTATTTGATATTGCACCATTGTTGACTAGTTTTGTCGCTATTGAACCCATTTTGAGACTTTTAGTGATCCGTAGACTCTGGTGGCTCTCTCGATCGGGTCTCCTCATAAATGGACAAATGTTCTGTTGCTCTGTTCCTTGTGGATCATATGCTGACGGTAACTCTTCACGTGTATCTGTATCGAGGTCAAAATCACCACTGCTTTCAATTTAATCTCCCCTTCAATTCAGGTGTGATGACGTTTTTGGCTCATTCTGTCTACGCCGGTGAAATTTCCTATCTACCTAGTGCGAACCGAATAAGTCATTCCAGAGACGGCGTGCTCTGTTCGTCGGGGTACGTTTTTTTGCGGCATAACCTCTGCCCTTGTAATACTCTTTTATGTCGTTTTTTACCGATCGCCCTTTTACACGCTTCTAGATACAGTACCGTACCACAAATTACCGACCGAAAGGTCTGTGATTTGAACCCGACCTCTTCATTTGGACTTCTGCTGTCTGGGATTGTGCAACCTGACAGTATCCCAGCCCTCATGCTTCCTTCGGTGGCATGACAGCTGTACACCGAAAGGGCGTTACGGCTGAACAATTTATATTCATTATTTTTATACCGATCTGTTACTGTTGTACTATCCTGTGCTAAGGCCGGGATCTCAAAGCAAGGAATAGGTTACTTAGCCTAAACGCACGATCTAGGGGTCCTATCTGACAAGTAACGTGTAGTCTAATTCACCACAATGTTACTCGGTAACAACTGTAGCATCAAGTTCAAATCTGCTGACAAGATCGGTCAGGCGGATGCATTTTCGAGAGTTTTAGAAAATAGACCATACGTACTCGCAGGATTCTGTTATAGATCAGATCTCACCTGAACCGGAAATGCAATGCACACCCAGGGAAGCCATCAAAGGTACTCCAATCACATTCGAAATGATACGCAAGGCAACCATAGAAGAGCCACTGCTGAGTCAAGTAGAGAAGTACCACCTCTCCAAGTGGTCACAAAACGGTACTGGATACGCCAAATTCCCGGATTCTTGTACCACAGCTTTCGTGCAAGATGTACTTAGTTTGGTCTGGAGTACTGCAAAGGAACAAGGCAAATTCTTCGGTTCCTGCGTGGCATGAATCGACAGACACGAGATTCTGTTGTCCGTATGCAGACACAAGCAGTCGAATATAAATTTGATGAATGTCCGAATACGCCACTGCGGGATTGTCCGGCAAACATAACGGATGGATTGTTGGAATACGAGTTTCTTGTGGCAAACTATATTCACCGAATGCATGCGGACGTTGGGATTCAAAGTGCAAACAGCGCTGTCCGTCACGACACCTCTATAAGATCTGCGAGCGTTGCCAGACGTTTGCTGAATGGTGGATGAGCAAGTGCATTTTTCTAAGTGGATCATCATCCACGTCAACAATTGCGACGAGGCAATCACATTTGGAAGCTTATAAAATATGCTGACGGTAACTCTTCACGTGTATCTGTATCGAGGTCAAAATCACCACTGCTTTCAATTTAATCTCCCCTTCAATTCAGGTGTGATGACGTTTTTGGCTCATTCTGTCTACGCCGGTGAAATTTCCTATCTACCTAGTGCGAACCGAATAAGTCATTCCAGAGACGGCGTGCTCTGTTCGTCGGGGTACGTTTTTTTGCGGCATAACCTCTGCCCTTGTAATACTCTTTTATGTCGTTTTTTACCGATCGCCCTTTTACACGCTTCTAGATACAGTACCGTACCACAAATTACCGACCGAAAGGTCTGTGATTTGAACCCGACCTCTTCATTTGGACTTCTGCTGTCTGGGATTGTGCAACCTGACAGTATCCCAGCCCTCATGCTTCCTTCGGTGGCATGACAGCTGTACACCGAAAGGGCGTTACGGCTGAACAATTTATATTCATTATTTTTATACCGATCTGTTACTGTTGTACTATCCTGTGCTAAGGCCGGGATCTCAAAGCAAGAAATTGGTTAATTAGCCTAAACGCACGATCTAGGTGTCCTATCTGACAGGTAACGTGTAGTCTAATTCACCAACGGACGGTCAGTAGTAATTGCGGCGAAACTTACCTGCGTTCGTTCAGTAGTCGCAACTGGATAGTGAACAATATATTGAATTAGACAGTACAGATAGGTAGACCACGGTTCTGTAAGAAATTAATAGTAAATCGTGAGAAGAATTGACGAAAGGCTTACGGCCAGATTGAACCTTGGGCAGTTAGCAACACAGGATGGCACACAAAGGGCAGTGTGCTATCGGACAAATTAAACGGGAAAAATATTGTTCAGTTCAAAGTGGGACAAAATTTCAACAAGCCCAGACTTGAATGTGAACAAACTAATGAATTAGCCTGAGGAATAGGGGGATCGACAGTTCAGTCCTGAAACTTGAGCAGTCACCGGAAGGCTAATGAATTAGCCTGAGGAATAGGGAAACAAATAATTACGTCACGTAATTAACAATTGCGTTTACCTGAGCGTCCATCCTAGGCATTATCATGATTATGAGATGCCTTCTCAGAGGTTACTTTTAAGCTTGAAATGACGCATTGCTTGTCTCATTGCTCAGCGTCATCTGTGACACAGTTGCTGTCACTGTAATTTTAGGCGTGCTGTTGCGTGCTATTGATTCTGAGAAAAGCCAAACTTCCCCTAATTTGCCTATTGTGACGGGTCACACCGCCTACTTCAACCATTTAACATCCTCGGGTACACAAATGCACATTTCAATGAAACTTCGTGATGTACTACTCATTAGGTTGCTGAAAATCCGTCGACAGCCCACGACCGATTTCGCCCGTTTCGGGGCTCATCGGGTAGGCACAGTCCCCGGGTTTCCGTCAACCTTATGTCGATGGATTTCCAGCAACCTTATGAGTAGTACATTACAAAGATATACATGTATCGCGATATCTTGAATATCGTAGCGACTGAAACGTGAGGCGGCCTGATGCAGCACATTCAGTTGCCTGAGAATATCACAAATGAGAGATTCAGCTGGGTTCCAGGTGAGTCTCTCGAAAAACCAAATTAGTTTGCAAATGACTGTATATTGGCTCAATTAAACTTGTTTACACAATAAATCACGCTAATCTGTCACTTGTGCTCAGGTGAGTTTATCGCAAATACGTCATCATTGACAGCAGCACCGGAGGAGAACGAAAGGAAGGATGCCTTTGCTGCGGGGTTATTTATTAGAAAATGCCAACTGACCAGTTACAGACTATTGGACAGGGAAGCAAAACACTCATTTGCATCTTATTTACAAAAACTGAACATCCATCTTCTCCTGAACGCGTCTTCTTGAACTTTCCTGGATATTCATTGACCCAAATCATTCATTGCTCGATTCCAAGCAAATGCTACAAAACGAATTCACAAATTCCGCAACAGATCTCCCTTTTCAATAGACGCAGAGCGAATTTACAAGAAGAAAACATACTACTCGCATGCTTCCCCATCAGTAGTATCACCGTTACACAGGTACTTCAGTGCCTTACAGCGTGTCGCTTTATTTGAATAAAGCCTTGTAATCTGAGGAAAGGAAAACTAGACTAAGTTTATCACAAATACCCGAGTTGCCTTCATCTCCAACACTCAGCCAGATAATGTGAATAGAAAGTGACAGCATGAACGCCACTGATATCGATCATCTGTCATTCATTATCTCCAGCCTAGTCCGTTTGGGATCCTGTGGACCCAAACCTAGAAGGCGAATGGCACTCAGACTGAAGCACGCATGCTTCCAGTAGTATCGCCGTTACACAGGTACTTCAGTGCCTTACAGCGTGTCGCTTTATTTGAATAAAGCCTTGTAATCTGAGGAAAGGAAAACTAGACTAAGTTTATCACAAATACCCGAGTTGCCTTCATCTCCAACACTCAGCCAGATAATGTGAATAGAAAGTGACAGCATGAACGCCACTGATATCGATCATCTGTCATTCATTATCTCCAGCCTAGTCCGTTTGGGATCCTGTGGACCCAAACCTAGAAGGCGAATGGCACTCAGACTGAAGCACCAGTTTGAGAATCTCCGAGCGCACTGCGCATGAGGAACTGGTGCTCTCCTGGTGCTTTAGCAAACACTCCAGAACTATTGTAATTTTTCATTTGAATTTCAGTTAAGCTCCGGGGTCGTCGCATCCCCGGGTGCGGGCACTTGTGTACTGGATACGGTGGATAACTCGCAACATCTTGATATTCAGCTCACTTTTCACAATATGTGTATGTCCGTTCTGTAAGAAATGGTTGCCCTGTAGCAATGAGTAACCTTAGTTCTTTTTTACAATCATCTTATGCTAGCTGTTCGGTTTGCTCCTTGAACACGAATAATGGGTGGAGCCGTTCTGGTCTGAGCGCGAGCAAGAATGGTGTCCATCCTCGTTCTATCGAGGCATTACCATCACCATCACAGGCGGCCTCGATAACTGCGGAACAGGCAGTTCGCGTTCGTCACAAAAGCGTTACATTTTACGTGGAACAAGATCAAATGAATTTACCCGATGTCAATCAATCAAGGGCACGGAGCACACAGCTTCTTATCTCCGGTGAGTCCCTTTATCCCCCCAAACCTTCATTGATTACCGAAACGTTATGTACAACCGTCACGTCTGCTGTTTAGAGGAGATTTAGAAACATCAGCATTGAACTCCGCTGCCCCGCAACACATTTTTATTTGAAATTGACGAAATCTCTCATGATGGCCAGATATGTCACAACGAAAACCAACTGGGGGGCCAACCGAAATCCACTATACTAACATGCAGTGATGCAAGAGTTACAATATGCGATAGTTGGACTTGTGTGCGCGTACACACGTATAACTGCTGGTTCTTTCCAGGAGTGAATACCACTCAGATTAGTTTGAATCGTTCGCTTCTTTCAAATGCTTGCTGTACGATCTGCGAAAGTAAGATTGTTCTTCAGTCAACCTGAACAGCTCATTCGTTCAGGAAGTCATCATGACTATAAAAAAATTCACATATAGTTTTATTTGCTGTGTAAAACTGCTTTGATCAAATACAAGCCACAAGCAGACCACCTGTATGCGAAGTACACTAGTTTCTTTTTTGACGAGACACCTGACTGGATTCCGGTTCAATATCTTGTTTTTGGCCAGCTATACTTCTCAGGTGTCCTAATGCCTTCGGTTGTCATTGGCTTTTTAGTTGAACAATTTCGATCGTTCTTCTGAAACAAAGTGCTACATTTTTTTGGTTTCTCTTTGTGCCTCTTAGACATACTTGAAACTGCTTCCATCGGTTTACTTTTCTGCTTATCCCTCGTATAAAAGGATGAAAGTGGGGCGTTTCCGTTGGTGATTTATCTTCATTCTATTAGTTCATGGATTGTAAAAACAACTTTTCCGCTCCTTTGTTTATGCCTGAGTGTTTACCCACCAGTAATCTGAGTTTTCTGCGTGATTCTCTTAGGTCAGCTGGTTGGACAATGCGCTGTGAGTTGGTCGGGTCAAACGGGGTACTTATGATCGGACTGCCATAGGTTATACTCACTAGTGACCATCTAGGATCGTGTGTGATCACAAGGAGCACGCTAACGCTTCAATTCGGTTCCATCATTGCTTTGTTTTGTGGTTCAAGAACAGGAATGATGGTTGTCTTCGTTCTTTAAGAGCATCTAGTTGCTTCATTTGTTTACTTCGGGATCCATTACAAAGTGAGTGTAGCATGCAAGATTGATTTTAGATCGGTTACCTGCAACACTGGTGGCATTCATTCTACTTGTCGCACCGTCATACAACATCTTTATGCTGTTTGATTCTAGTTATCAAAGAATTGATGCGGATGAGTTTCTAAGCGGTCAGTAAGGTCACAGATGGTCGGTTTTTCCTAATCCTACCCCACAACAGCTTCCTTTTCCGTTGTTATCCTCCTCTCAGGTGATCCGCAACGTCACTCCACAAATCCCAGTAACCTTGGTTTACCCTCTACTTCGCCCGCCTCGTCGGAAGATAGTGGATTTCATCACGCTCCGTCCAGTTCCCAGGGGCTCTCTCCCCCTGGCCCATTTTCGTCTCCATCTTGGTCAGTGCAAGGTTGTGAGAACGGATGGAAAACTTTTGCCGGTCAATTTATTGCTATCAATGCATTTCTCCAAAGTTGCAGATGTATGAAAGCAGCTTCCGGACCGTCGCCATGGACGCATTTGGGGGACGGCTGTTTGGATCTGATCCTAGTCAACAAATGCACTCGGAAACAGTTTTTGCAATTTCTTGTTCGAACAGCTAATATTTCTATTCAGCCATCCAATGATGACCATGGTCCTCAGCAGTGTAGCCCGTTTGACTTACCGTTTGTTCGAGTCGAACGGGTTTGTGCGTTCGAATTCAAGGGCGTATCTTCCTTAGGTCAGTTTCCTTTATCCGCCTCTTGTGACTCATTCAGTGAGTTGAATGGGACCCCGGATGAGGATGATCCATACATATCAGACCATGCATCGTGCGGTTGTTCGTCAACTTGTTGTCACAGGCCACGTCTACGCCAGAGAGCAAGTGGACCGGAATCAGTGTGGTGTGCCGACGGAGAAATCGTGCCTCATACGAATGTGGGTGTCTTGTAAGTCACTTCATTTTCTGTCATGTTGCAGTCGTTTGGGGAATTTTTGAATGATATTTCCACCCACATACAGTCAGCAATGCTCAGAGCTGAACTTTCCCGGGTAAAATAGTTCGCTTTTAGTGCTTCCCTGTTCTTCACCTGCACACGCGAAATTACATAGACTATTCTCAACGTTAAGTAAAAACCCTGTGGAAAAACACTTGTGATGCGAAAGACATCGGTTAAAAACCCAGTAGCGCTTCTAAAGGCTTTTAAACAGAGAATAGTTGTGTATGTCGACATTGTTTGGTCACTCTGGAAGAGTGAATGGATAGAGTTCGATCCGTCAAACACTCATGCGTAGTGGTCGATTGCGAAAAGACGGGTGGATCGGTCAAATCGAGGGGATTCGGGCGCCGCTGCAATCCGATGAAGAAGATCTACCTTGTTAGCGGAGGCGAAAAAAACAACAGAAAAGCTAATCCTAGTCGATCTGCAGTAGTTCATAGGTTTATTCATTAATTGTTCACCAATGGGATAAGTGGCTTCCTACTTTTTCCGAGAGGGAGCTCCAATTCGAGCCTTTGATTAGTATTCAATTTTTAGGTTAGACTGGACTTTGAAAAGTGGATGAAGCTGGACAAGGGTAAAATGCTTTTTTGTAACGAAAAAGGAAATCAGCTGTTTGAATTTTCGAGTTATATGTGGTGTGATCGTGGAGATTATTGTAAAAAGCATGCAAAAGAAGAAATAAAGAGTGATACTTAAGGCTAAAGAGGGCTAAAGATCGGAATTATCGGTTGAAGGGATGTGAAAGCAGTCGACTTTTACTGGTTATATTGTTCCTTTTGTCCATCGATCCTCGCTTTGCCACTCCGACGAGGTCGTTTGGGGCTGACTCACAAATTGGTGTTGTTTTCGGATGATGGACTGTTTGTTATCCGTTGTGAAGCAAAAGAAAACGAGTGATGTAGTCTGTGAATAATGCGTGGACCCAAGAGGTCCGAACGAAATCAAGAATCTGGGAGATTTAGCATTCAGGGGACTTACTCGCATTGACGCCACATCGGTAACTGCCAACGCGAATGTTGCTATCTTTGTTGATTATGGTCACTGTTTTCGGCCACGCGTTCCAGTTGCAGGTCACTGTGTTAGAGCTTAACTATGCGGTCGAAAGTTTGGGACATGTCCAAATGAAAAGCTTGGATTTCACCAAAAGTTGAAAATCAGAAGAGGTTCTTTGTACAGCTGACCAAAGCACTGGCTGAGTTCTTTGCAATTTCATTCTGTCGACAACGGAGGCGTTTGCGGGGTCAAAAATTTGGTTGTATATGTATAATGAGAGCAGATTTCTCACAGTTGATATGACGGAAGTTAGATTCTGTTTGGCAGAACATTAGGCTTTCCTTGGAGAGGTGGCATAGCGACATTGACTAGGTTTGGTGTTAATAGGTACAAGTTGGAGTGCAAGTTTTGTGGAATATTGAAAAGGGTAGCCCAAGTGTGTCTCATCGTCTGTATACGACATGAGACTGCTGAGTTTGTTGAACTCTCGGAGCAGTGAATGTGAATTAGCGAATTTCGAAGGGCAGTTGGATAATTTGCAGAATCTGCTTGCAACAACGTCGGATAATTTGTGGGGGGAAAGAACAAACTTCTTATTAACCCGTTAAGCGTTGTCTTGTAATAAGCTGCTAACCTTTTGATTCATTTTTTCCACAGAGTTTTGTTTGGCTTTGTCCAATTTAAAACGGATCGCTTTATCCTACTGTACACTTTTGGTATTCCTTCTACGTCGGCCACTATTGTGCTACCGCTTTTTGAGTGGTCGTGACAAAACGTTGCAGCTTCCTCACTACCAGTGGAAGGAAGAAAGCCTTCGCTGCGGAGTTATTTATTAGCAAATACCAACTGAACAGTTACAGAATATTGGACAGGGAAGCAAAACACTCATTTGCATCCTATTTACAAAAACGGAACATCCATCTCATGAACGCGTCTTCCTGAACTTTCCTGGATATTCATTGCTCAAATCCAAGCAAATGCTACAGAGCAACTCCACAAATTCCGCAACATCAGTTGTTTATTTTCGTATGAACAGACTCATTTGGTTTGGAAATCCAAACTTGTTCGTGACATTTGATGATTTTCCCGAAGCAAGACACAATCCTTGTTGTTTTTTGAGAAAAAATAGGAAATTTTATCCTTCTTTGGGAATGAACTGCCCTTGGTGGTAATATCTTCTTCCTGGCAAATATAATAGGCATTCGAGATCTCAAAAGCTGAATGTTTCGCATAGATGTTCTTCTAACAAACTACTCGGTGTTTTTCGATCCCCTAGTGTCACAAAAACGAAACCGGTTGGTTGAGGTAGCTGCAGATTCTGGTCGGCCGACGGGAGATCCAGGAGAGAAAACCCGGAACTGCCCGATAAGCGGTCTTTGTGGCTTGCTTTTTCGAAATCGGTTCAACTCTTTATGTCAAGCTCAGGATTGTCTTGAGGTGCCGTCCTTGATCAATAGGCACCTAAAAACGCAACTTCCTGATGTAGCTGTAAAACAACGAAAAAAAAAACATTTGAATTCTGCTATTTTATTGACCACACAGAGCGTATCTTGCTGTGTACTTAGGGAGACGATAGGTACGTTTGTACGTGGGATCTTTACAAAGAAAACGGTGCACTGCTGTAGCATCTTTAAACAGCTTTCAATTATTAATGAGCCAAAAGTGAGATGGCCCTTAGAACCTTACTTAGAGACGAAAGCAAACATTAAAAATGAGGTAGGCTCATATAAGTGAATCTTGGCATATGTGTGTGCTGTGAAACTGCTCAGGTGACTGGTCACTACCCTGGGGACCGATGGTTCTAATGGGCATGTGTTCATAACTTGAGATAAATCTGTGATTGATTCCAGACAGTATACAATGTATCAATCGACGCGAGATCAAACCTGATGCACTCGGAAGCTCGTTCTTTACTGTCCAAACCAAGGCTTTGATTCAAGCAACCAAAATTAGTCACTACGAGCTTGTGTCCTTTGCAGAGGGGTTTTCTTAAGCGACACTCTGGGCATGGAGCTCTTTGATGCTTAGTGCAATCTGTGGCCTGATTGAGAGCACTCCTCATCGTTTCGGTTTCGATTATCGCCTTCACACCACTTCGAGTCAATTAGTCTGACCTGTTAATTGTACTGAAATACTCAACACTGGCTTTTTTGTTGTCAGTCATAGAGTACTATTTACAGTATTGGTTTCTCAATGACCAATGGCTTGTTGCAGCTTTGCCAGTCAAAAAGGCACTTCGGATGCTGGTGTAACGGTGATGCTACTGATGGGGAGGCATGCGAGTAGTATGTTTCTTGTAAATTCGCTTTGCATCTCTTGAAAAGGGAGATCTGTTGCGGAATTTGTGGAGTCGATTTTTAGCATTTGCTTGGATTTGAGCAACGGTTAATGAATATTCAGGAAAGCTCAGGAAGACTCGTTCAAGAGAAGATGGATGTTCAGCTGGCATTTTCTAATAAATTACTCCGCAGCGATTGCCTTCTCCCTTTCACTGGTATCTCGAGAGTCTACATTCAATGTGATTTAAAGTATCTTCCCTACAGTCGGCTTAGAAAATTCCTTAATGACGTTTGTAGCGCTGCTCAGTACATATAACCGGAAGGCCAGTTTGCATTCGATGCATTTAAGTTGCCCATGTGTTGGGGAACGATATCACTGTTTGACCGATGCAAACAAACTATGGCAGGTAAGCCTACCGAATGGCTTCATACTGTGCACGAATCCAAGAGATGTTCACATATCTGAGGCAACCCGGCAGCTTGAACAACAATACGCCTACCTCAGCTACCTTGCATTGTTTGTCTACCATATGCAAGAATCAGAAATGCATACGACACATTTGAGAGTTCGTTGAACGTCGCATGTCAGTTTGTATTGTGAATTGATGGCACACAAACGAGTAAGAGTTTTCTAAAATCCTATTTTAGTAATCCGAATCATTTTCTAATTATTTTCCTATCAAGTGACAAGTATATTGCTTCGTTAGAATATGCCTCAAAACAAGCAGCAATATCTCCATGAGAGAACTACTTGGCGCCCTGTTTTTTGCACTGGCATCTCTCCCCATCATCACGACCCTATACGCATGCTAGCTTCATCCATTGTCTGATTCTGACTAGTACCCATCACCGACCATGAAGATATTGTCAGGCTCATCAGATCAGTTGATCAACCAGGTTATTGCCGTCTAATTAGATTGGGAAGCTTCGTACAGCTCTTTCATTTTGGTCGGTAGGTATCATTATCACGCGGTCCATAAGTAGTATCCATCGTTGTGGCATCAATACTGAGTACCTCACAAATGCCTAGGATGTTTGGGACCCAGTGACCTCTCAGTTAGTGTTGATTCACCGGCGGTGGGACTACACGCCGATGTGGCGATTTCACACAGCCCACGTCGCTATACAGCCGTTCGCTTTGAATTCTCTGTTTTCGTACACTCTTGGTTCGCTGTTAATCCAGGATCATTTTCTGACATCTACTGCGACAACATGGATCACTTTGTTGTACTTGAACGAACCAGGTTTATGCTGTCCACAATTTCTCACTGGGAACATTTTCCACGTCCTGTTGGTAACTTCTTAAAAAGTATTTCTGAGTTTATCTGGTAATCCCTTGGATTATCCCTTCCCTTCACACGGTGGAGGAAGTGGACGACTGTTACCGCTAGGAATGGTATTCATTGTTCAGCAGATTTCTGTATAGGCTTCTTTGTGCCATTTTTTCTCGGCTATTCGGTTTTTTCACATCTGTTACCTATGGCCTCCGTGAGTTTATTCTCTGTATGTGTAGATGTTACTTCGTGTTCTTGGTTTGTTGGGGCGCGATGGCTCAATGGTTAGAACGCGAATTTACTGACAGGAACCCAACCTCTGCCTCTCGACCATTCCCCTGTTCAGGCTTGGACAGTATGTCAGCCCTCGTGCTTCTTTCTGGTGGCATGGCACCGAAAGGGTGGTACGGATGAACGGTTTCGATTTTGTTCTTGGATTGGGTTTATCTGATTTCACTGCGTACTTCCTTCAGACCAGTTTTCCAGGGACTGCAATCTCATCACTCTGATCGTTTTTTCACTCTTTGTCTTAGTGTCCATCGACATCTTATTCGGCTGTTTGCTAGAGGGCCTGAGCCACTCTGCCTCAACGCTTTGGATAATCCGGTGCTCAAGGAATTCTCTCAGTCCGATCAGCTCTTCAATTTGATTGCATCGACATTTCTGTTGTCTACCGACCATGTCACACAGCCGGCAGTCTCTACAACGACTTTCGACCCCTGATATTGACAACTGCGAACTTCAGTGTGTTTTTTATTCATTTTCAATTTACTCTCCCAATTTCCCTGTAGCATATCTTCTCTACGTGATACCTGTGACTGCTATCCCTAAACAGCGAAATGAATATCTATTCAATTCATCTGTTTCAATGTATCCATTCTTTCCATTTCATTTGTCGGTGTATCGTCACCATAGGGACCAGCTAATTACTACTTTTCCTTCTGTCGATTGGTCAATCTCTTGCCTCGCGATTGTTGTATACCTTATTCACTGAACAATGTGGGTTTTCCTTCAAATTTCTGATTTTGCCCGTATTTGTATTTTCCTTGGAACACTGTAAGGGTTCAACACTCAGACACATCCCAACATATCGATTTTTAACGGTTTTCAATTTGTTACCAACTCGTTTCACTCACTTCTGCTTTTTTTGAGACCGCGTTTAGCGTGCCGTCTATCAGTGACGCAGCGCAGCCGTTCTTCTCTTCGACTGATCTGAGCGGGAAGGAGACGGCGGTAACCAACCTGCTGAAGCCTTATTTAAGTTCGTGTCTTCGCCTTCGACTACATGTACTGTGAATGGTTTTTCTTCTGACTGATTTTCCTGGGAGAGCGTTACACTTAGTAGTAAATTGCTCATAATTTTTCTGGAACGGTTAACTAAACTCAAAAGGTGGGCATTTTCGGTGAATGGTCACATTTCACAGTAGGCGGACTGACTTTCTGGCTGTCAACTTGAAACAAGATGTGACACGTTTGAGAGGTCCGTTGGCGCTTAGTGATGTGTCCTGGATTCAAGACATTCATCGATTTTATCTTGAAAGTAGTAGAGCTACCCGTTGGTCAGGTTTAGGCATGTAGTGCAGGCCAAGGGTAAGTCTATATCATACATAAATACGGCCGTCGGTTCTCGCCGTGTGGAACCGCAGAGCTACAAGCAACCTGGCGGCTTTTCTGATCTCAGTATTCGGTCATTCAGAACGGTAGCTTAGGCCTTTCGGAAAGCACAGAATGTTTGATGGTTCCTTCTATGTCGGACCAGACGCCAAGTGTCCCATAAACCACATTATTGAATGTAATTGGACGCATTCGGTACATCGGAAAGGCTTGACACCTTGGGATGTTCACTCTATGCGACCCACTTTACCTTTGTAGGGGTATTCGGCATTCTTTGCAAGAAGTTTACTCATCCGGCTGGTGATTGATGATTCGTTGTTCCCCCCTAGTATGTTGCGAGACTCACCGGACGGTTTCTTCGTTTGGATGGGATTCGGACATTTGGATCTTGCCGATTTTACAGACTTGTTCATTCCGTTGATATTCGAACTTTTGTGATATAGGTTGTCAAAACTGACTGAGTTCGCACTTTTCTACTTACCGAACGGCAGATCTCGTGCCATTGCATCGCCCTAATTGCATTTGGAAACGTCAGTGAATTTCGCTTATTTCATCACTTTTCAATCGTCATGTTGAGTGATGAACTGACTGAACTTTCTTGTGTACCAAATTGTAAACTAAGTAGGTTCATACTTGGTGTTTGCGCTTCGTTTGCCGCTTCGACTTATTCATCTGCCTTAGGTGCTCTGGGGGTCAATCTAGTGTGGATTCCAACATTCAGTCGCTTGTTCCGTTTCGCATCACGATGTCGTTATGGTGAAAACCCAGTTGTATGGAAGTAAAAACTCTGAAAGCCGTAGGTATAGAAAGGGGCTGGCATTGAAATAAACGAGCACTGGGTTACTCAGCTCTGTCATGCCCCATTCACATTAATTGTGATACAGGGGTACGCAAGAGTATGACCGTTCAATGACCAAATCATTTTATTCTTGTTCTAAAGCCCAATTTTAAGATAAACTTAGCCAGTGCTCTAGCAAAGGTTTTTTTATTTGGTAAGGCTTCGTACTCGCATGGTCATTCCATAAAAGTAACCTTAAACAAAATAAAGCCAGGCGCGTTCAGCAAACTGTTTCACAACCATCTCATTCAGGGACCACAGAAAGTCACGATCCAAGGTTTTAACTCAATAGTCTGTGAGGATCGGGTTGGTACCATCATCATCATCAAAGACAACAACATCAGTGTTGCCACTGATGCTTCACTGGCGTACAACCATAAGGTTGTATATATA